TCAAACCGTAAACAGAAATTCATGTGAAGGTTTTGACAAAGTTTGACTTCAAAATAAAGTTCTGAGACAGAAACACAACACTTTCAGGAGACTGAAGAATTTAATGCCAATGTCTTTTGTGACCCATTTCTAGCAATTTACAAGACAACACCTGAGGTTTTGCTATTCACAGCTGTAGCATCTGTTCAGCTGCAAACAAACAGTTGCATGACCCTGTATGACCAGAAGATCACTAATTATACGCTTTTTAAGGTGCATTATGTGTAGTGTAAATATACATACCAAGTGATAACTCATTGTTTACGGCCACAATGCAAAGGAAAACCTGTAGCTGACACCTAATTTCCTGAGCACCACAAGTTATCAGGTGGAAACAAGTAGAGGTGAAACTGGAATAAAGAAGATTACTGCTAAAGAGTGCAATACTGCCAAGATCCAATCCATTGCAATGGAAATCTCTATTTCCTGAATAACTATTCAAAAGCCCGCAGAGACTGAAAATAAAATTGTACCATTACAGCAGCCTCTATCGTACTTATCTGCCCCACATATAGGATCTATGTATTTATCCTCACAAAAGCCCTTACAAGGTGTCTATCCTTACAAGGTAAAGCACTGCGATTATCCCCATTGTACAGATGGGACCGGAGAGACAGAGATGCTAAGTGACATACCTAGGGTCACAAAGGATGATTGTGGATGGGCAGGAACTAAACCTGGCTCTTCCAAGGCTCAGGCTAACGTTTTAAAGACTGGACCACCATTCCTTCTGTACAGTCATCACATTTGAAGATTTTTGCATGAAATTTAAACAGCATTTAAAACAATAATGCGTTTTTAAAAGGTACAGTGTAGTCACTTCACAAGCGTGGTACCCTGGCAACTTCCATGGCATTCTACTTCACAGTAAGCATAAGATCCAATCACACAGCCATTTCCAAGAAAGAACCAGATCTTCCAACCCAGACAAATTTCAGTGTTAAGAAGAGGTCTTTGAAAGAGACAGAACAAGGATAGTGGCTGGCGGACAGCCTCTAGTTTTCAGAGGGTATGTGCATGCGGCGCTTGTTGCCTGTTTTCAATATGGAAAGCCAAACCGATCTGATTACTGCACTGGGGGAAACCAGGGCTGACAAAGGGGACTTATACTCTGAATACACACAAACACTTGCATCTAAGGGACAGTGTGCTACCATAAACATTTAAAATTTAAATCAACATGTAATCTTAGTTGCTCATGCTATAGTGAGGGTTTCATATGAGAAGGTTCTTCTAGAGAGCTCTCCAACAGCAGAGTGCTTAACAAGGCAAAAGGAATTCAAAAAGAGGCAGGGAAAGTCGCGGGGCAGAACCCATTCACTATGCAGCAGCAGCAGCTACTATATTTAGGGTGCCTAACACTTTTTATTGTGAACACTGCGGTCGTTTTTTTCAGAAGAGGTCTCACTCCTCCACGGTTTGCAGCGGGATTTTGAAGTTTAGTAGGGATTAGTTCTGGAGGTCAGAGGTGCTTTTTGCTGGCCTCGTGGAAATCCTTTCAAATTTGGCCACGTTACAATCAGATGAAAACTGCCATTGCTTGTCCATGTTTCACACAACACAGCTGTTTTCTGGCAACACACCCCTCCCCTGCAGTGTTCCGCTAGCCCTGCATATGCATCCGAGATGTCTCAAAGTGGAGAATAATCACTGAATAACCTTCAGTCAGTAAAAAGAAAAGGAGTACTTGTTGCACCTTAATCTCTAAGGTGCCACAAGTCTTCCTTCAGTTAGTGGTGACTTTTACAAATTTGGCCTTGGGTCTCCCACTGCATTAGCTCCTCATCAGTAAAACGGGACTAACTACTATTGTCTCTCGCTGACCAGTGTGACAATACATTCATTAGTGTTTGTGAGGACCAGATATTACAGTAACAAGAACCACAGAAGAGCCTATAAGGAAATCAATAATCCTGTATTTAGTGTAGGGTTTGGATGACATGCGGTAAATAAGACATAAGGCCACACACTGAATGATAAGGAACACTGAACAGAGGCATCATTCCCTGAGCACTGGGCATCCTGTACCCTGACCCCAGCAGAGTCATGTGGAAAATATACCACGTGACCATGTAGTTAAAGCTTTCTAATCTCACCTATATAAATAAAGGAATTTAGCATGCACCAAAGTGCCTATTTTTAAATGTGACTTTTTGTCACCAACCAAAAAATCCACCTATTTTCCCATCAATTCCTTTGGGGGAGCTACTGTCATCTTGGAAACGGTCATCCCTTTGAAAGTGAGTGCCCAATGCTTCATTTAAAAAACAGCTGAACACAGGCACAAACAAGAGGCCCTATCTTCAAACAGGCTTTATTCTTAACAAAACAGGAAGTCTGAGAAGCTGTGGGCATGCTCAAAGCGGTTAGCATCATGAACAAAAGCTCCCTGCGAGCTCTGTCCTTGGGGGCAGGGTTGAAAGGGCTTACAGAGGAGTCCATCTCTGAAAAGCAACTCTAAAAATAGCCATGCGAGCTCCTGATTTTTAAATCTTTCAGCAACTCCAAAGAAAATTGGCTCAAATTACATGTAAATAGGTGGAGTAAGGAGTTAAATGCTAGCACCACCAACGCAGCTTGGGATCTGAGAATCAAGCTTGGTTATTTCTATCTACTACCATCTGTAGTAATAAAGATTCTGCAGTTGGACTGCAGTTAACTATTCTGTTTGGAATGCGATGCAGACTAAAATCTAGCTCCCTCTCCCAGAGCTGCAGGACTAGCAAATGTAAACTCACAAAAATTTACTTTCACAAATAAAGAAAGCAGATAAGACCTCCACAGTGCACAAAGGAAGATGATCTGTTGGTTGAAAGGTGCTTTTTTTTTTAAAAAAAAATATTTTTTCCAAATACAAACTACTCTTTAGCTCCACTGAATTATCTTAAGGACTCAGCCACAATACAGCAAACGGGATTTATTTTATTAGAAAGCCAAGCCTTTGAGCCTCCTGTTTGTACATAAAAAAATATTACAAATCCAATACAAAAATAAATTGATTTTATTTCTGTGCCTTTCCAAATTCTGCAGCACCTATGAGATCACCGATCTACAACTTGAGTGCTTCAGTGCGAAGTGCTGCTGTGAAAACTCCTCTACACAGCGAGACCCCTCCCACTGCTGCATCACTGAGCACATCTGCTGTAGGTAACTCCTTTGCTTTTCAAAACAAAGAAAGTTGCAGTAAATAGAAAAGAGACAAAGCAGCAACAGGATCTCCCCAAAGACCTAGAAGGATAGTGGTCCCATGCACTACCTTCCCTGAAAGCTTTCTTCACCCAGAGCTCATTGCAAGATTTGGGCCTAAAACAGCAGCATAAATAGTTTAAACTGACATTCCGGATTTTCCAAGATCATCCCTTTCTATGGACACAGAGACTTTTCGAAGGCCTACTCCCCCACCTTTGAACACATCTTAGGAGAACCCTCTGCAGGTTTCTGAATTTATAGCTCCACTTCCTACAGCAAAGAACACAGACCTAAACATGAATCAATTTTCAAGAGTACTGTGTACACGCATAGCATGTCACACTATAGTATCTGTAATTAAATTTAAAAAAAAGTCTTCAGGGGGTGGATGTTGTATTAAGTAATCTCACCAGCACAAGTGTCAGAAAATATTTAAAACTCAGACACAAGACATGCTTAAAGCAAGGGGAAGTTTTAGCCAAATGCTCTTAAAAAAATTAAAAGAGTGGCATGTGCAATTTGAATAATACATTTTAGTACTGCAGCAATTATTTATGAAACACACACTTAGAAATGAAGGAAAGTGACCTACAAATTATAGGTGGCACATGTAAAATACAACAACAAAGTTACACACATCCAACTACTTATGGAACTTAAAAGGAAGGTTTAAAGCAGTTTTGCTTCTAGGGAGCTCTGAAAATCAAGGAGACGTAACCAAAAGTAATGGGATCTTTTTCTGAAAGATTTGCTCTAGGAATTATTTTGGGGGAAGTTCTCTGGCCTGTGTTATAGAGAATGTCAGACTAAATGATCACAGTGGTCACTTCTGGCCTTGGAGTCTATGAAATTAGAAAGGAAAAATGTAGCCTGAATAGCTAGAGACTTCCTGGCAGAGAGCTCTATTAAGCCATGAAGTAGGAAAATCCAATGGCTTGGGTTATTTAAAACTAGACTGGACAAAGCACTAGAAAATGTACTGTAGGGAACAATTTTGCACTTGTAAGGGGTGGACTAGCTGGTCCAATTGCTCTTTTCCATCTCCAGCTTCTCAGGTTTTATAAGGAGATAACTCTACTGGCAATGTCAAAAAAACTGTATCTGAAAATAAAGTCTGCCACTGCAAATGGCATTTCCAATCTTTAAAATGTCATACAGGGAGAAACAACCCCAGAGGCCAGCAACTATATCAATCCTGCTCTTATACTAGTTTAACAAACATCTCAAAAGACTTGAACGCTTTAAGAGCCCTTCCACACTGGAGAGAGACTAAAAATGGCACCACCGGGTTCCAGTATCTATGACCTCCAGGACTCTGCCAGATCAAATCCACTCAGTTTACAAGTAAAACAATCTGTTCCCAAAAAACGGTCAGGACCTGCAAACCAGGCCTAAGCCCTAAGAGGCCAACTGGGCTCGTCCCGGCTCACGCATCACGGCCGGTAAGTATTCTGCAGCGAGGCCTTCGCTGGGAACTCTGCCGCGGACACAGGCAGCTCGGAGACGCCAGCTCCCGCGGGAGCAGGAACTGCCCCGGCGTCTAAGGGGAGCCCAGGGGTCTCTTCGCCAGCCTCCAGGACTTTGCGCCATGCAAAATGGCAGCAGCTCCGCGTTACCTGTACGGGCCCCGACCTCCATCCCGCCACTCCGCGGGGTGAAGAGGAGGCGGCGGTGGGAACCCGCACGCGGACGCGCACCTGACGCCCCGCCCCGCCCCGCCCCGCCGGCACGCTCCCCCCGGGCGCGGTGGATCGGGACCACGGGCTGCTTACAGACTGTCTCCGCGCGCCGGGCTCCGGGGTCCCCACGGCGCTTCGCGGGCCGCCGGGGCTCGGGTCGGGATCCTCCTGGGCGGCCCCGTCCGCGGCGCTGCAGGGCTGCTCCGCTCTCCCACGTGTCGGCCCCGGGGGCCCGGGCACCGGGCGCAGCTCGACCCGCTCGGGCCGCGCCCCCAGGCCGGGCTCCCGGCCGCCCGGGCCCGGCGTCTCGGCCGGCGGCGCGGGGGAGCAGAGGAGGGCCGAGATGGGCTCGTGGTGCCGGCGAGCCGCCGAGCCGCCGCCCGGCCCGGCCCCGGCCCCGGCCCCGGCCCCCGGCTCGGGCGGCGGCGGGCGGCAGGGGGCTCCCGCGAGGCTCCTCCGCAGCGCGGCCTCCGGGCTTCCCTCCGCGGCCGCGCCGGGCCGCGCCGGGCCGTCCGGGGCCCCGAGGCCGGGCGGCGGCGGGGGCAGGGGCAGGGGCGGGGGCGGGCTCGGGGGCGGGCTGGCCGCGGCCGGCGGCTCGGGGGCGGGCGGCGGGGAGCCGGAGCCGGGCCCGGGCTCGGCGGCGGCGCCGTGCAGACCCTCGGCGCTGATCATGGAGGCGAGGTCCTGCAGCCGGCGCAGCGGGATGTAGCAGGAGGCCGGGTCCTGGCCGCAGGCCGCCTTGGCGGGGAGCGGCCCCGGGCGGCCATGGGGCGGCTCAGCCCCGGGGCTGCCCGCGCGCTCGGGCAGGGCCCGCGGGCCGGCGAAGGGGGCCAGGCCGCCCCGCCGGCTCCCGTCGCAGGCCGGCTCCATCCCGCGCCGCGGGCATCGACCTGCGGAGCGAGCAGAGCACAATGGTCAGGCCGGGCCTGCGCTCCAAGATGGCAGCCCGCGCCCCTCCCCCCGCCGGGCGGGCGGGCGGGCGGGCGGCCGGACCGCCGCGCTCCGCGCCCCCCCTCCGCGCCCCCGCCCGCTCGCCCCCCCCCGCTCCGCGCCCCGCGCCCCTCCCCCCCGCTCCGCGCCCCCTCCGGCCCGCGCGCGCGCGCGGCCCTACCTGCCCCTCCCGCGCCCGGCCCCCGCGCGGGCCCAGAACCAGCAGGCCCGGCCCGGCCCCGCAGCTCCGCCGCCTCCCCCTCGCCAGTGCGCGCGCCCGCCGGCCGCCATCCCGCCCGCGCCAGTGCGCGCGCCCGCCGGCCCCCCCCCCCCCCGACTCTCGGGGTTCAGCGCCGGCCAATCAGCGCCGCGCGGCCCCTCCAGCGCCTCGTGCCCGGGGCCCCCGCCGGGGCTCGCTGCTGCCTCCCCGCGGCGGCTCCCCCGGGCCCGGGACCCCCGGCCCCGCCCGCCCCCTCCCTCCGCGGCCTCCGCGGCCTCCGCCTCCTCGCCCGCGCCTCACCCGGGGCCCGGCCCGCACGCGGCTGCCGAGCGGCGCCAACAAAATGGAGGCCGCGGCCGGCCCCGCGCCCCCGCCTGCCCCCCCCGCGCGGCCCCCGCGCCCCCGGCCCGGCCCCCCAGGCCCGGCCCGGCCCGGCCCCACGGGCCGCCCCCGCCCGCCCGCCCCGGCCCCACGGGCCCGGCCTGCCCCGCCGGCCCCGGCCCCGGCCCCGGCCCGCGTCCTCGCTTGCCCCGCGGCCGGCGGGCGGGCGGGCGGGACCCGCTGGCCCGGGGCCCGGCGGCTGCCCGCGATCCTTGCCTGGAGCCGGCCGCGGGTCCTGCTGCCCCGGGAGCCGGGCTCGCCCGGGAGGCCGCGCTGGCGTGCAAGGCGCTCACCCCGCACGAGTCCCGGCTCGGGGCGGGGGTCACCGCCAGGGACGCGCCGGGGGTGGGGTTCGGCCCGCCCGGCGGATGGCCAAGGTGCTGCTGGCTCGGCGCTTGGTACAATGGCTCTGGCAGCAGCGTGCCCCCTCTTCGGAGGTGTGATTGTGTTCCCGAGGGCTGCCGGTACTTCTGCACCGACAGCTGGGATCTTCTCCAGCACTGGGGGTGTATGGCCAGCCTCGCTCCTCAACGCCTTCAGGCCAGGGGTGTCCAGCTCCCTCGGAGGAAAGGGCTGAATGCGAGGTGCCATTGTACTTTATGGGCCGGGGGCGAATTCAGGAGCATATTGTCCCTTCAGGGCACAGGGGATGGCAGCAGGAGCCAGGTCTGCGCAGAGATCAAGGGGAGAATATCGCCTTTGAATTAAACCTGGAGCTAGTTATATCCTCAGTGCCTATTGTCACACTCCTCACTCCATGAACAATCTTTGCCCAAGGCTGTCTCTGCCCTTTGTTTCTCTTCCTTCTCTGTTTCTCTCTCCCTCTTCCCAGTGTGTGTGTGTCTGTTCTTTTCTCTGCATTTCCTTCCTTGCAGCAACTCCAAATTCCCATCCCCTTCTGCCACTCAAACCATCAGTGATTACATACTTAATGCTGACACAGAAATGTCATCACTAGCCTTTAAAACTGATAGTCCAGTTAGATTACTAGGGGACAGTGGACTTTGCTTTTGTGCTGAGTCAGGTTGCAGGCTCTGTGCACACTCAGGCAGACATCACTTCACGGATTACACCGCTCACATTTAGGTTGTGGCCCTGCAGCCAGGAACTTGCTCTTTTGTAAATTTAAAGATGAGATTTTAGAGAATATGAACATGCCACACATAGAAATACATAAAGTGGGCAGGATCTGGACAGCAGGCCGGATGTTTGGTGGTCCTGATTTAAACCCTGGAAGTTCATGTGTCTCCATCCTTCCTAGATCTTCTGCCTAGTTGGACCCTTGGCTTCTGCTAGTGGCAGAGCAGGCTGGAGTTCGGTGTAGGGCCTGAGGAATTGTAGAGCTTGCTCCACCATTCCTGGGCCCCATTGCCAGCTCTCTATGTGTGGTTTCCATATGGCACCAAGGCCTTCGGCCCCTTTGCTGCCAGGGGATCTCTGCTCATGCTCCCCTCTCACAGGCTCCATAACTTACGGGTTTCTCCTTTGTTCTCCTCACTCCTGGCTATGGCATGGTTCTGTCCTGCCATGTCAGCCAGTTCCTTACTGCCAGGTCGCTGTCTCGGCTGAGAGGAGAGGGGGACTGCTGTCACTACACACTGGGCCATGGACTCTATAGGCCCCAACGGTGCCCCCCTTCTCTTAAAGGAGCATCACCTGGAACATGCTGAACAGCAGAGGACTGGAGAAGTGTCCTGCTCCCCCTCACCAAAGTGGATGGCTTTCTCTCTCTTGGGAGCCGGGGAAACCACCTCACTGGTTCTATTCACATGGCTTCTACCTCGCACTGCTGTACACGGGGGGGCGGATGACTTGGCAGAAGGCATGTACTGCAGGTCCCCGAGGGCTTTTCCTCAAGAGTCCCCAACTTGGGAGACTGCCATAGCCCACAAGTCTAGGGGTGAGGCCCAACCTTCCCATGGGCATTGGGAGAAGACCATGTATTGTCCCCCTCCAGTACAAGCAGAGGTTAACCCTTCGTTCACCAGGTAGTGCTTCTGTCACACACGTTACTACTTCTCCTAACATCCACACCTCTGTCATGGTTTGCATGAGAGACAAGGTGAGGGAGGTAATATCTTGTATTGGGCCAGCGTCTGTTGGTGACAGAGGCAAGCTTTCGAGCTTATCAGAGCTGCTCTTCACATGTGGGGACCACACTCCCAGTGTCACAGCAAAATGCAAGGTGGAACAGGTTGTTTAGCATGAGTAGTTAGTTAGCACATAGGTAAGGGACCATTCAAGGTAGAGTGGCCCGTTAACTGCTCTGCAGTCATAGGACAAAAAGAGGGGGTTCTTTTGTTACAGGTTGTTGTAATAAGCCATAAATCCAGTGTCTCTGTTCAGTCCGTGAGTTTTAGTGTCTAGCAAAGTTCTCAGTTTAAGCTCGCAGGCTTGTCTTTTGAAGGTGTTGTGCAGGTTTCCTTAGAGGACAAGGACTGAGAGGTCAGACATGGAGTGATTGCTTTGTGAGGCGATGGGGTGTTTGTCATTTATCATTTTCCTGTATGAGTTCATTAAAGAGTGTAGTGATTGTTTGCACCCACATAGTTAATGGGGCATTTAGTGCACTCGATGAGGTACACCACTATACCTTGAATGGTTTCTTACAGTATGTGCCAACTACTTGTGTTAAACAATCTGTTCCACCTTGCATTTAGCTGTGACCCTGGGAGTACCTTTTCCAGACCTGAAGAAGAGCTCTGGGTGGCTCAAAAGCTTGTCCCTCTCACCAACAGAAGTTGGCCCAATAAAACATACTACCTCACCCACCTTGTCTCTCTAATATCCTGGGACTGACATGGGTACAACAACACTGCATATGACAATGGATTGCATAGTCCCACAACAGCTACTCACCACTGTTTCTGTGATCTTCTTATTCTCTTTGAGGATTCTAGCTCCAGGATTGACCCTGGTTGTCAGAACATAGCACTCTGATCTCTTCACAGTCCATCTCCTCCTCCTTTTGTGACCTCTCCAGCCTCACTGTTCTCAGCACTGATTCTATACTTACAGCGCTATAGCAGGTAGAGAAGACACGGCCTATGCTGACGGGAGAGCTTCTTCTGTTGCATAGGTACTCCAGCTCCCCGGGAGGTGGTAGCAGCCCTCCTGACACCCCGCTGTTTATGTTGGGGGTTAGGTCAGCATCACTACTTTGCTGAGGGGTGTATGCTGACATAAGCTGGCAATGTAGACCGGGGCTCGGACTCAAAGGACGCATACGCCACTCCTGCTAGCACTTTGTTTTCTGTTATGCTTGAGCCTGGAGTTGACTTTTCTTTTGTTTTTTGGGTAATCTGTCACTTGCATTTCTAAAAACTTATCCCCATGATAAAGCAAAAAAATGTATTTGTAAATGCCCCAAAAGGCACTCAGGGCTCTGTAAAAAACCAGTGCATTGGTGGAGAATTGTGGTTTTCCTCTTTCCTTCTGTAATACTTTTGTTGAAGAAATAACACAGCAAAATAAAGACAACAAAAACCAAAAACCCTGTAAGTTTCTAACAAAGCGCCCCCAGCTTCATTCCCTACAGCCACTAAAAGCCCCCAACTAAACAGATTAGCCCTCAGCTTGTTTTTAACCTGCTGCCTGTTTATTAAGCACTGACAGAGCTCAGCCGTGTGCTAGGACAGAGCAGAGATGTGGAGCAACATTTTCAAAGCAAGCTACCTGTGTCCAGCTTTAGCCACCTAAAGGAAAGTGATTTTGAGAGGTGCTGGCACCCCCAGCTCCCAGTGGCTGCAAGTGCTCAGCTTGTCCGACAGCTAGGCTGCTTTTATTTAGGTGCCGAGAATGGATCATTTCAGCCCTGGTCGCCACCACAAAGGGCTCACCCCCCAAGGCCGCGGTCCTGCAAACACACTCAGCCCCAGGTGCTGCTTGCAGCCAATGAGGTTACTCACCTGTTGAAAGCGGAGCATGTCCCTATCTGTTCACAGGACAGGGCCTACAGTGTAATGTTTAGCGGGGCAGACTAGAGTCTCTGGGCCCTAGAAATGCATTTCCTTCATTCCTTTTGTAGTTCTCACTATAAAAACTTAAAAACAGCCGTACTGGGTCAGACCAAGGGTCCATCTAGCCCAGGGTCCTGTCTTCCGACAGCGGCCAGTGCCAGATGCTTCAGGGGAGATGAACAGAACAGGGCAGTTATTGCGTGATCCCTCCCCTGTCGTCCAGTCGCAGATTCTGGCAGTCAGAGGTTTAGGGACTCCCAGAGCATGGGGTTGTGTCTCTGACCATCTTGGCTAATAGCCATTGGTGAACTTATCTAATTCTTTTTTTAGCCCAGTTATAGTTTTGGCCTTCACAGCATCCCCTGGCAGTGAGTTCCACCGACTGAGTGTGTGATGTCTGAAGCAGTGCTTTCCTACGTGTCTTTTAAACCTGCTGCCTGTTATTTTCATCGGGTGATCCCTGAAATCCCCCTCTATTTCCTGGGATTCTGGAGTCAGCCCAGGCTGAAACCTGGTTTAAAAGCTGCCACTGCACATAACCGTGACTCATGCTCCAGTTCTTGGCAGCAGCAGCTCCTGTGACCCCGCCCTGCTCTGTGTTTTCATTGCTAGTCACGGTTTGCTACTCGCTGGCTGCAGCTCCCTGGCAATCCCTGGTATTGGTGCCCTCTGGCGGCCCGTCCAACAGCTGCCTGACAACCACAAGTGAACAAGCTGCTCCTTGCATGCCAGACTGACGCCTTCCTAGTCACCCCCTAAATCTCTGCATCATTAACAGCCCACCC